TATGTTTGGTGGAGTGATTCGCCGAAGGAGGTATGTGGATCGCCGGCTTCATTTTTTTCTGCCAAAGGTAAATTGATTCCAAATTCATTTCCACCACCAATAAGACTTATGCCGACTGCAATGCTTGGGCTCCCAAACAGACCTTCACTCATGGAGACTATTTGAGTAAAGCTGATTTTTCATCAAGTATTTTTAAATCCGAGATTTTTGCTTGTTGCATTCATTTGGTTTGTGTGATCTGAGATTTCGTTCCTTATTTGTGTTGTATTGATGCTTGCCTTTATGGAGATTTCAGAAATTGTTTATTGTTAGGGTGAATTACAGTTTGCACGTCTGTACTATCGAAAAGGTCGTATTCACCCCATGTACTATCAAAATCTACAAATACCCCCTGCTTTTAACAGTCAATGGTCAGACATTTGACGGTGCTAACTTTTACTGTGCTTCTACCCTCGTTCTTACGTCTGATGAGTGTCGAAATTTCTCCAAGTCCTTTCATTCTCTCACAAACAACACACACTCACTCTCTGCCTCTCGTTTCGAATTTTCATAAGGTAAAAAGTCTCACAAAAATCTCCCTTTCTCTCTGAGTTTTCGTGAAATTGGTTTTTAGAACTACTCTATGAGTGCATTCGAGGGACGCTTACTGCAGAAGAAGGTAAGATTTTCAATTTTAGGAGTTTTCTCAACTAAGCTATGAACTTATGCGGGTACATTGAATTTTGTTTTTTGGATTCTTGAATTCGATGAGCTATGAAAGTTTAGGATATGTTTTTGAGTAAAATTTAGGTTGTTATTTTTTATTGTTGTCGATTTTTACTGTTTGTTAAAATTAGGGCTTTTGTCGATTTTTATTGTTCGTTGATTTTATGACTGATGTAGTTCGAAATGAGGGATTTTTCAGTTTTTTTTATGGGATTTTATTGATTGAATTCTTCTTTTTTTTTTTTTTTTAATCCAACGTGGAGGAAAATTCACAGTTGATGGTTTTGACTACATTGGAGGGATGACATTGGAGTTGATGGTTCCAGAAAAACAATACATATAATGTTTGGATCTAACACACGATTTTTGAGAATTTAAACCATTAGAAGACATTTTAGCATGAAAAAATAAAAGGAAAGAAAACTAGAAAAAAATAGAAATTGAGGTTGAATAAGATGCAGATTCATGGAGAAAAGAAAACAGGAGAAAAAACAAGAAAAAAGAGGAAAAAATGAGAAAAAACGAGGAGAAAAGGAAACAAAAGAAAAAATGAGAAAAAAGAGGGAAAAAAAGGAGAAAAAAAGAGGAGAAAAGAAAAAAAGGAGAAAAAACGAGAAAAAATAGGAAAAAAATGGAGAAAAAACGAGCTGAAAAGGTGAAAATTTTGGTGAGAAAAAATGGGCAAGAGTATGCAGCATTTATATAGTGATTTTTTGGGGGTATTTTTGTCAGAAAAAACCAACGGCTCTATGAAACGGTAAGTCAACGCGTTTGACAAACGGAGTCAACAGTCAGTTCTAACGGCAGAGGGGGTATTTGTAGATTTTGATAGTACAGGGGGGTGAATGCGATATTTTCGATAGTATAGGGGTGCAAACTGTAATTTCCCTTATTGTTATTAGGGTTAAATACAGTTTACACTCCTACAATATATCCCTTATAACACTTACCCCTAAAGTATCGTTTGTAACATTTACCCCCTCAAACTCAATTTAATTTGTATTTTAAATCTTAGTACCTTAAAAAAATTATTTTTTTTTAATTTAAAAGATAAAATTAAATTATACAAATAAAAATATATGTTGAAAAATGCAGTGTTTTATAATTTAAAAATATTGCCTTGTGTTGTGTTGGGTACATATTTAATAAATAACATCTAAGTGTTATTTGGACTAATTAATCGAATATGTTCGTATATATCGATAAATTTTAAGAAATCAAAATACATAACTACTAGTAATCTTAAGTATTTAAATTTATTTTAGTTCATTAATTTCTTAAAATATATTTTCATGCTTTATTATACAATATATATTGCTTCTTATTTTTTTTCAATGATTTAATTTTAGTTACTTTTTATTTTTTTATGATTTAATAATTATTAGATGGTTATGTTTATTATGTTTTAAAATTTAAAATATAAAATAATTGGTGTTGAGGGGCTAAGTATTACAAATAATACTTAAAAGAGATAAGTATTATATAGGCTACACTTGAGAGTGTAAAATGTATTTAACTTTGTTATTACTCTAATTCAATTTATAAGAAATACATTGGTATTATTGTTTTTGAAGGCAAAAAGAAAAAAGGAAGAGGACAAATTTGACCAACCGGCATGTAGAAATATAGTCAAGCCCTTGAATTTGCATATTGCTCAACATATATCACCTGATCTTTAGTTTCAGTTGTTTTTTTTTTTTTTTTTTTAACAATTGAAATCAATTGTGATTACCATATTTTCTATCAAATTTTGATTTTATAATTTTTGGGATCTGGCTTTGCCTAAGGCCGATCGAATTGATTGGTTGAACGGTGTTACATATCTGATTTAGAGCCGCCACCGTTATTGAAAACAAATATAGCAGATGCAGGCGCGGGCAATAGAAGATTGGGGGTCGACTGCGCTTACAATGAATAGTTGATTTACACTTCTCACGTGACAATGAATAGTGGATTTCGAATTCTCAAGCAACAATGAATAGAGGATTACATTATGCATAGATGTATTTCAAAATCTCAAGCCATAGTCAATAGTGAATTCAGTTAGAGAGGACGGTGTGTAGTTCGAATTCTCAAGCAACAAATAATGAATAATGGAGTAGATTTCAAATTTACACACTGACAACGAATAGTGGATTTACGTTAAATTTTATAGCAAATGTCGATATTTTTTTAGTGGATTTCGTTTTTTGGTAAACTTGCTGGGAAAAAAATAATTTAAAAAAAACTGAAAACGGAATTAAAAAAAATAACATAGTAAATTATGTTAATTATATAGTAGATTTCAATAAGTTTGTAGGGGATACTGAAAAAAAAATTAAAAAGATAAAAAAAATCAAAACTAAAAATACGAATTTTTTTTTGGAAAAAACAAATTTAAAAAGAAAAACTGAAAATAGAAATAAAACATAGAAATTAAAAAATATAAAACAAATAAAAAAATCCAAAAAGACACTAAATTGGGGTACTTTAGGTATTCTGCATTTTAAGGGGTTATCCCAAATATGGGATTTAAATTTTGGTTTATCCCTCTACTGAAATTCATGACAACGGTCGGAAACATTTTGGGGATGTTTCTGATAATAAAGAACAATTGAAAATGCGTTTCCAAACAAAATAAATTCAAATTTCATTTTAAATAAAAACTCCGAATTGCATACGCTTAAAAAAATCATAAATAGTATGTCTCATTTTCACTTCTTGTGGTGTTAATATATCTGTAGAGGTTAATTCCATACTAAAATAAATTTATATGCTCCGAATGTAATTTGTGGAATGATATTAAACATTATAATATATTTTTAAAATTATGAGTGCACTCCTATATTTTTATTATTTATGCGTTTCCCCCACATTCCCGTATCCAACTTCTTGGAAAACAAAATTTTGCCGTGTCTATTTCCCTATTTTCCCCTGTCCACATTCCCGTTTATGTGCTACATAGTATACAAGTAATATAGTTGAAATTGAAAATTTAAACCCCTAATTCAATAATGACAGCATTCTACCCGCAAGGGTGGCCTAGCGGTTGGAGTAAGAGAGCTTGGGTCAATTGACTCAAGTTCGAATCCCCTTGCCAACGGTCGCTAGGTCGAGCTTGTCACACATGGTTAGCCTAGTGTGGTTTACATCTCTCGTATGGTTTGCAAGCTATTATACAAGAGTGTAAGTTTACCCAGTGCACCTATATGGTTGGCTGCGGGTTCCTGCATTACCAAAAAAAAAAAATAATGACAGCATTCTCGCTTCCTTCATCATTAGCTACATTAAATATTGCATAAACAGTCCCAATTCGCCACCCTTTTCTGACAAAACCACCCTTTAATAGCATTAATATTGCATAAACAGTCCCAATTCGCCACCCTTTTCTGACAAAACCACCCTTTAATAACATTAATAAAGGCAAATTTGATCCCGGAAGAGACAATCAAGCTGTTGAATCAAGTGAGTCTGTGACAATTGACCATAGTTCGAATCTCCTTGCCAACAACATTAGATGGAGTTTGTCACACATGATTAGCCTAATGTGGTTTATGTCTCTATTATGTTTTGCAAGCTATTTATTATACGAGAGTATAAGTTTACCTAGTGCACTTATATAGCTGGTTGCGGGTTCCTTCATTACAAAAATATAAAAACATAGGGAAAATCTCGGTAACCTTCTTTCCAGATTATATGCTACATTGGGTCATTTTTAATCATTGATAAAAAGTTCAAATAACAATTCACTTAATACACATATACATGTTTGTGTATATAATTATTGTACGAAATTAACAGTAAACCCCTTCTTCCACAGTAGTTTAATTGCTATGTCATAGTCATAAAATGAAACTAAAGAAGATAAGAATCACAGCCGCCCATGTGCAATAAAGCAATAAACTAGTCCAAATTAAAGAAATTGTAGGACCCGTTACTAGCAATCAATTGGAGGCGGACTTAAAGTAAATATCACTTAACCGCTATACGGTTACAAACTTTTGTAAATGATTCTTTTGTTCTTGAATTATCAGCATATAATTCTTTTATGGTAGATTGGGATAACTTTTGTTAGTTTTTCCGTCAACTTAACCGCTTGTGTCAAACATTAAAGTCTTTTTTTTTTTTTTTTTGCAGATGACCGCTTTCATTTTTGCAGATGACACCCTAGAAGTTTGACACACGTAGTTAAGTCTGACGGAAAAACCAACGTAAGTTACTCCCTATAAACTGATATTACGAGCACAAAGAGATCATCTGCAAAATCTTGTAACAACCGGGGAGTTAAGTGTTATTTACCTACAAATGAAATTTGTTTTCATTTGAATTAGAAACTTCCTCGTTTTTGAGTGTGGAGACATAGAAAATGTTACTTAATTGGACTTAAATTTATGGTCTTTGCCATTGACTTGAGTTGCGAATAATTTGCATATATTCCCTTCCCACACTAACTCTTTAAAAAAACACACACACACACACCTAACATTTAACACTTCACGTCAATTTTATCAGTCATGAAAAGTTCAGGCCAATTTTCCACACTTGCATTTTTCATGCTGGTTCATTATTGTCTGATGATAATGGGCAATACAACCTTAGCCAAATCGAAACCCGGCAACACGATCAACAACGATCGATCTTCGCTTCTTACATTAAAATCCCATATCACTTCAGATCCTTACAATAGCCTAAAATATAATTCGACAACAAAAACCTCTGTCTGCAGTTGGATCGGAGTCAGCTGCGGTCAAAGTAACCGAGTTACCGAGTTGGATCTTTCGGACATGGGTCTTTCGGGCACGATCCCACCCGAAATCGGAAATCTTTCGTTTCTGGTGAATTTGAAGATGATGAATAATCTTTTCCATGGCCCTATTCCTCTGTCTCTTTTCAACGGCATGCCTTTGTTGGAGATTGTTTGGCTGACGAATAATAGTTTGTCGGGAAGTTTGCCGACGGATATGTGCGGTACTCGGCCGTACGATGGTAATAATGTTGGGAGCCGATTGAAAGAGTTTGATGTGTCGTATAATAATTTTTCCGGAGAAATACCGACGAGTTTGGAGCAGTGCTCGATGGTTGAGGTTTTGTCGTTGTACAAGAATGGGTTTGTTGGGAATTTGCCGACGGGGATTGGGAACATGACTCGGCTTCAACGGTTGGATCTTGGTTTCAACAACTTAACTGGTAAACTATATATATATATATATATATATATATATATATATATATATATATATATATATATGGATATATATTTTAATTTTCAGTCTGCAGTTTTGATAAATTATATACATTTTATTATTGGGTAAATTACGGCACCATTGAACTCTGAGATATGGTCAAATTACAAAAATTCACATCATGTTTGGATAATTGCAACCACGTGTATCAACTATGATTTTTTTTTTCACATCCACCCTTACGGTGTCAAATTTAGTGGAATCTTCTAGATTATATGGAATATTCTCAAGTTTGTATCCGTTTTATCCCATTCGAGCTCTACATTTTGAAGCAATATAATCATAAGATGTGTTTTTTGGCCTGTATATATCAGATTGTGGTGCACCAGAAACTGCATATTTGCACAAAACGAATCGAGCCAAG